CGGTATATTCACCATACTTGTGGCCATCTCCGGGGGATTCAGCTCATTGATGCATTGCTGCATATGCGTGCCGAAGCTGACACTGCATTGCCTTGTTTAGTTGCGTGAGGTCCACTGACAACCAACACCGGAAGCTATCGGCCCTTTAAACTACAAGTTAAAGAAAGATGGTGTAGTTCAGTTAAAGATTGATTCCTCTATAGAAGGCTGGCTTCTTTCAATTCATTGTTTGGGTTAATTGAGCCCCAGTCTCACTTTGAAGCTGACTAGATCTACTCTTGAAGTCCATTTCTACAATATTCGGTAGATGTCGATGCCAACAGCAATCCGCCTTGTCTTAGCACTTGCTGTACAGGGCATATCGCCTTGAAGAAATATGGAATTTCCCGAGAGTATTCGAGTGGCATGGCAGGGGATCCTTGTAGTGTAGAGGCAACTATCCTGTTTGACAATGTCAACCACTCTAGGCGGCGTGTTCACGCATGGTCGCTGACAGGGGCTTGAGCATCCTCGATGCAGAGACCTTTTGAATTCATAGCCACAATGGCACAATATCTATGGTGACATGCGACGATCGGCAAATACATATGGAACAAACTTGACAGGGAGGGGGTTCCTCTGGTGGACTCGGAGCGTAGTTATACCTCCCTCAGCTTTTTGCAAGACTGAAAGATACATGATGAGCATTGATGATGCAAGTTTCCCATGATTCAGGTTCCTTTTCGCCGTTACGAACTTAGAGGCCAAAAAATTTTACAGGGGTGGGTGAGTATTGGCTCTCGAGAGGCAACCTCGCGAAGAGCGAAATACGAAACAGCGGTTGGAGCAGCCAGTCTTTGTGCAGCAAGATTCGCAGCCGCAGCACATTCAACTCAGACCATGTCAGTTGGCGGTCTGTCTGTAGCGAGACAATAGCGAGTGTTCTCAAGTTGAGTTTTCACAAAACACCATTATCATAGTGTTTTCTACAGGGCGAATGCCGAGAGCGAGTGGCACTTTGGGGCTAGCAATGGTAGTTCTGGCAAAGGGTCTTGACATAATTGGTTTTCGCGCCTGACCCTAGGTTCATCCGCAGAGTCTTTCAATTGTGATTTATGTCATGAGGATCACATACTCTCTGTCCTTTCTCCCTCGAGAAAAGACGCCATCCATACCGGCATAGAATTGGTATTGAAGTCAGATACACAATTGTTATTTACCGCCTATTGCACTATTCTAGTTCAAGGCGCAGATAAGAAATACTTATACTTAATATGTATAGAAGCTGAGCTGGTGTTCGTCCGAGAACATCAGAAACGAACTAAAAATGGTATATAAGTCATGCCTCGGGCAGTCACACTCGGTGAAGGTTTTCATTCTGCTGTCATTTTACAATACAATCTTGGCTAAATAAATTATACCCCCAACCTTCTTCTTACAGTCTCGAGGGACGCTGGTACTCGCCAGGAGAAGGGTTGGCGCCAAGGATGCCAAGTTCATTCAAGACCTGATCCGCAGCGAGAGCGCCCTGTTCCATCGCACCCTCAATAAAGGATCTCCATCCATTGGCCCAGTCGGCGTTGGCCATGAAGACGTTGCCATGACGGCTCTGGAGCTCGGCAAGGTACTTGGTCAGGAAACCAGCGGGATACCAGGCAGCGCCAGCCTTGGCATAAGGGTCGGAGACCCAGTCGTGGAAGACAACCTTCTTGATGTCCATGGGGTGGAATCGCTTCAGGGCGGTTTCGAGACGCTCGGGCTCCTTGAGTGGATCGAGCTTGCCACGGTTGTCGCCAGCGAACGAGGTGATGCGGGTAGTCTTGCCACCAGCGCAGAAGCCATCGCCATAAACATACAGCATATCACCAGGCCAAGTGCATCCTCGGAGACCTCGGAGATCTCCCTCAACTTCGGCATGAATCTTTGTCAAATAGTCAACCTGGCCAATCGTAATGGCTTCTTGGCGGAGAGGCGACAGAGGAGGGTCGAAGTGGATGTCGGGGAGGACGGCGATGGGGATGGTGTTAACTACGCGCTTGGCACGGAAGATCTTGCTATCCGGAGTGTGGAGGGACACAATTCCTTCTTTTTCGACGATGGACTTGATGGGCGTCTTGAACGAGTACTGAAGTCCAAGTCGGACGGCGTCGTCGAAAATGCGTCGGGCGAGCGTAGACTGACCCTCGCGGATCTTGTACAGGGTCCAAACCTCCTCAAAAGTGGCGATGTCATAGCCCTGAAGAGCCTGAGCACGGAGCATCTCAAGGAACCCAAAATTCTCAACGGAGCCACCTCCAATGTGCGGAACAAGCGACTCCAGAAGAGCAAGCTCGTCAGCGCTCAGCTGGTCCTTAATCTGGTCGATGCGGTCACGGCATGAGAGCTGATCGACAGCCTTGACCTGATTGGCACTAACACGCGAGTTGCCAAGTGTCGAGTAAGGGAGAGGGCAAATGTCGCGACCGTTGTTGCCGTCAATGTTGATAAAGATGCCCCAGGCTCTGGCGGTCATCTCACCAGCCTCCTTGTGAGTGAACTTTCGGGAACCGGAACCTGTGTCGAGAGTGAAATAATCGCAGCCTCCGTTTTCAGTGCGGGTTATGGTCACGTCGTCCTTGAGACCGTACCGCACCATCTCACCGAACACGCGACCGTGGACGTGTGAGACCCAGGTTCCTCCCATCTCATACGTTGTGCCGTCAAGCTCAGCGCTCCATGTTCGGCCACCGACACGGCCACGGGCCTCAATAAGGAGAGTCTTCTTGCCTGCAAAATGTCAACAGCATACTTCCTCACGTTTGTCCGCTCTCGCTACTCACCAGCCTTGACGAGGTCACGGGCGGCGATCAAACCGGCATAACCGGAGCCAATGACAATGGCCTCCCAGACATTGCCGTCGTCGACTTGTCGGATCTTGCGTTCTGGCTGCACGACACCGTAAGTGCGGAGACCAGCGACCAAGCCGTCTTGCTTGGTGTAGGTGTGCCCCTCATTGGAGAGATTGGCGTGGTAGGGAGACATTATGAAGGGGGTTTGACGTGGAGAAATGCAAAGTAAAAGAGTCAATTGAAGCTGCTGCAATTGAGACGATTCAATCAATCCACTTCGACACCGATGCAGCTAAGAGAAGATATCAAGAAGAAGAGAGGAGCAAAGTCAAGCTTAAGAATGAAAGCGAATGCTGACCCTTGAAGCTCCCGAGCTCCAAACTTTGGAACATGCGGGGGCGCGAAGTTCGAGATATTTCCCAATCAAGAGCTAGCTTCAGCTATGCGCTTTACCAAAGACAGCATCGATCTGCAGTGCGGATGATTACTTAATGGAGAATCCTTGACGTTGATACGGTGAACTCTGCTAGCGTTGGAAACCGCTGAAAAGGGTATTAACTCGAATACCGCCAACTTTGAGGCTCGAGACCGCATCATGATATCGCGTCGACTTATCACGGCGGAGTTGACCGCTTGAAATGCATCAATTGTGTCCCCGCTTGCTGTCAAGCATCCCCATGGGGATCTAGATTTGCCAAGGCGCGGAATCAGTCGATAATTATCCTGCGTTGAACAGTGGGACCAGGATTAGTTTCGCTCTATTATCGCGAACTAACACAATGATGCCTACGGAGTACAGATCTTGGCATGGTCAGCGAGAGCGGTAAACCCCAATCGTCCGTATTCGACAGCTCCAGTATACTCATCAGCCTTCAACAATCCGTCCAACTAGACTGCACGGTGGAGAGAAACCCCCATCTGGACAGAGTTAATACGAGATATCTTGTTGTTCAGGTTGTGATCCAGACCACGATAGCTCTCTAACCCCGTAAATGTCCGGGGTTGGGAGCACTACCTGGTTAGGTAAAGCTCCATGGTGCTGCCCTCCCAGCAACCAATGGGTTCAAAGCTGCGGCATCCGAGGTTCCAGCGATGCTTTTTCTTGTTAGCGAGATAACAGATAAGAATCCACCTTATCTCGATAAGGCATTTTCTATTATCGCCCTGGAGACTGCTTTCTTACCCTATAGCCACTTGATTTGTGCTCAAAATTGGCACTCGAGTTCCCGTCACGAGCGAATGCCGTCTCATAGATAATTATGGGAACTCCTTAGTTATTTTACGAGTACGTACTAACGGTGATATTCTTTTTAGATTCCCATTTAGTTTGGGGGCTGTGGGTTAAGAGGACGGCGCTTAACAGACGAGATGATCATAAAAGCCTATGAAATAACTATTGCATGGAATGATACAATGAGACAGTTCAGTTTCGAGATACAGCTATAAAAATCCTTCTGTTCGAATTACCTACTCGTGCTAGATAACTTGGAAAAATTCCACCTTCTCAATTCAGCTTTCGCGTCATGGCCTTCTCTCTTCATCTGCCCCCTCTAACAGCTTCATCTGTCACTCCCTTCCACTGCATCGTGGTAGAGGCTTCGGAATGAGATCCAGTAGTTTCGTTCCCCAGAGTACGGAGACGAACGAGACGATGAAGACCTGCAGGTTTCAGCTTTTTGATGTCAACTTGTCAGCCACGATTTCAGCCCTCACGAGCTCTGTCAGCCCCAACGTGAGCCCCTGATAAGACGTTGGCTAGCTCGTCTCACAATTGGACACTCAAGCTTCCCCTGTCCAGGGCAAGCGGCCTCTGACGTCAACTATCCCAAGCGAGGAGAGATCGTCGATTGAGAGGACCTGGCTTGGACTAACAAGAAACTATTGAAAAGTATCCACATATTCGCGTCAGACAGAGTCGCAGATTGGACAATCAAGCCGTTTAATATGAGTTGGCACACCTTCCTCCAAGTTTGTCGCCGCGTTAATAACGATCAGCAAGGCAAGAATCCCTGTGTTCCTGGGCTAAAGATGCATGTTGGGCAATAGCTTTTACTAGCCGTGTTGTTAAGGCTTGCTGACGCCAGCTTAGGACGTCTTCAGGGGAGATTTATAGGAGACTATCTGCTGCCGTCCTTTTCTCAGCAGCTCATTCCTCTCGTTCTCCACTGCAAATTGCACCTGTCACTCGTTACTATGGTCTCCTCCAAGCTGTTGACTGGCGTTCTCGCCTTGCTGTCGGTTGGCGTCGCCAACGGCAAAGTGTGCTATCCTACTCGTTCTACTACATTGTCAACTGAGACTACCACCTCGACTGCCGAGTCTTCAACGGCTACCGAGTCATCAACGGTCGAGACCACCACTTCTTCGTCGATTGAAACCAGCACCTCTTCGACCGAGTCCTCAAGTGTCGAAACTACCACCACTTCGACTACTGAGTCTTCATCTGCCGAAACAACCACAACCTCCGCTACCGAATCCACAACGGCTACGTCGACCGTCAGCACTGATGCGACAACCTCTTCAGCTGAGACATCTTCAACCTATATCACCATCACTTCCACCACAGCAAGCTCGACCGAGACCGAGACCGCAAGCACATCCACTTCGACCTTCTTCCCTGCTGGTCTATTCCCATGCGAAGATGATGCGGATTGCGATCTGCAAGGCGGAGTGTGCGATCCCCAGCGCTGCGGCTGTATCAACCTAATGTGCTACCTCAAGACGACGACGATGGCGACAATGACCACCACCGCCTTGCCCCAGTTCGCATGCGGTAGCGATACTCAATGTATAGGTGCTTCATTCTGTTTGGATCAGGGTGTTAATATCTGTGCCTGCGTCAACGCATTGTGTGCCGTGACGATGGTACCCTTGCCATAGTGGAGGCATTTGGAATGTGTGCGGTTATAGACTGGAGAGGGTATGTATATAGTCATTTGAGGAATTTTGTAAATAGCCATGTTGTATATGAGCCTAAGCTATAATACAAATAGACGCTATGCAAGAGTTGAACACATCCATCTGTCAAGACAGACCGCGTTGGTAGAGTCCGGCTTACATGGGGATAGAACCGAGGTTATTCCATAGGCTCTTGGCCTCTAATTCTATTTGTAGTTGCAGTCAGGTTACGTGATGGTGGGATGCACATCCTTGGTTCATGCAAGTCGCTGCATTTGTCAGCTTCGGATGGGCTCGCTTAACAGAAAGTCATGCAGTTGCCCACAGGTTGTTGACCCTTTAACAACTTCAATTGCCCAAAGATCCAGAAACGCCATTCGACTGCCTCGAAATGGACATGAGTTACGCTAGTACTTTTGAAGCCGCATTTGCGGACCCAAAGAACACGGCCATCACTACTCCCGATGCGGATGTAAACGCCATCATCAGCAACAACTACACTGTCGATGAGCCATTTACTTATACCAAGTCCCTTCTATGGCATATGGAAGTGAAGAAGGCGCAGGCCCCAGACAAATACATCAGTCATGTCGTCCGCCCCGGGAGTTTGAAGGTGGTCGACCGTACTGAGGAGGGCCTCATTGAGTTCACCCGCATTACGGACCAAAGGATGTGGAAGCATCCCGATCAGTACACCACAATTATTGAGCGCGTTTGCCTCGATCATGTCAACAAAAAGGCATTCTTCCTTGGAATGGCAGAGGCAACTCTTCCTGACGGCACCAAAATCACGAGTGGGGAAAAGCAGCCATTGTTTCACGTTGAACACTGCGCGGTTGGGAGTGAGCAGAACCCTATCAATACTTGGCGTATCGTGCATCTCACCGAAAGTCGCGATGAAGATCTTGTCAAGGCTTTTGATGGCATGATGCGTGATCCATTTTTGAGGCAGTTCAATGAGGTTTACATACATGAGGACTTGGGAAGACAGCTGGTTCGCAAGGATATTACTACTTGAAGTTTATACTCTCTAGCTACATTGCACCTGAGGCACCAGGTGTCTGGGATTTTGAGGGGCAGTTACCAGCTTCTAGGATAGTTACACTGGGATGCACCGAATATTCAGAACCTTTTATACGGCCGCAGGCTGAACATTGGTTGTGGTGTAAGTCGCACAGGTGTTTCCAGCAGGATCAACCGTCATCTGCGCCAGATCATCGTGACCGCTAGCACAAGCACCCCCAGAAGCCCTCAACTCGCCATTGCTGAAAGTGACGAGCTCGATACCCTGTGCATTGCAGTCCTCAGCGCGGAAATGCGTTCCGTTGAATCCGACGCAAGCCTGAACGTCGACAAGGTCGGGCCTGAATCCTGCTGTGAATGTTCGCTGAACTTGAAGTGCATTCGCGGATGGAGTGAGTTGACGGTCGGCGGCTTCATTGACACATGCAGCATCGACGATCTCGCCGTTGTTGCGGAAGGTGAGGCATTCGTTGCCAGGTACGCCGCCGATCTCAGTAAAGACAACTGTCTGGCCGTCGGCTGCCTGATCAGCACCTCCGTTGGTAGCATCATCAGCTGCACCGCCTCCATTGCCATTGTCGCCAGTTGCACCGTCATTGCCAGTGGTGCCATCAGCGGCACCATCGTTGTTTGTGGTATCGTCAGTCGCACCGCCTCCGTTGGTAGTGTCGTCGGCTGCACCGCCATCGGCTCCGGTGTTGTTATCATTGCCAGCATTGTTGTTGTTGCCGTCGTTGTTTTGTGGAACATCTCCATTGGCATCACCGGTGGTATCATCAGTGGTATCGCCGTTGCCACCGTTGCCGTTGCCGTTGCCGCCGTTTCCATTTTGCGGCACATTAACGTTGCCGTTGTCGTTTTGCGGCACGTTGTTGACTGGAGCAATACCGTTGCCAAAGTTGCCGCCTCCGCCAAACCGTCCACGGAATCGTCCGCCGAATTGCCTCGGCTGAATGGACATGGCAGAGGCCACAGTGAGGAAGTAAAGAACCGAAACAGCCTTCATGGTGACGATCAAAGAATGTACAAGCCGGGTGAATGAGACAAGCGAATGAAGTGAGAGAGTATAAATGAAGGGTGGGCCGGCCACGGAGAAGTGAAGAGGTAGTATAAACAGGAGAGATGAGAAAGAGTGTGATGATCAAAACAAATCAAGAATACTCAGTTCAATGACTTTTATAATGTCTGAATTCGAGTTTTCAAGATGCCCCCTTCGCTTCCAAGTTGACAACTCTGACCCTGTTTCGGATTCGTCGCAACAACCCCTGTAACGTCACACTAACATCTGTCGTCGCATCTCCAAGCCAAGCGATCATCTGAAACTGGGCGCCAATCTCAGACACCTATTTATGGATTAGACCAAGAGACTTTTCCAGTCCTGGACATTTGACCGATGGGGTTAAACTCGGGGGGCTGGTTCTGGGCAACTTGGCGACCTCCTGTCTTAGCCCGTATTGGTCGTCTGGCACACTGGATCGGACATCTGAGGCAAAATTTGCTTTACAATGTTTTATTCGCTTTCGGAGCGCATTTCTTTGTTCTCTCTATACGAGCTGACAAGTCGGGGAGGCTGACCTAGTTTTCAGGGCAGCCTCAAACGCCAACAGCATCACCATTCCACTTGTCCTGAGACTATCCGAATTTTCCTCAAATGAGAATGCAAGTGAACTACGAGCGGCGAGCTGTAAGCGCTAGGAGAAAAAGACAAGCGCCGTGTGGAGGAAGCAATTAGGTCTTTTAGGGGCTGGGTGTTAATAGCCAAACGTGACTTTCTCTAGAACAGCCAATTTAGGTCCCTCCTGTGACTATGACAACCTACAGGTTTTGGCACAGAAAAGTGCCCTTGTAGTTATGCAGTTGCATGCTGGGGAGGTTTGTTTAGAGGATCTCGATCTGAAAGCATTTACTCAGGCCAACACAGTCAATTTGCCGCTAGTATTCACACAATAGCACCAAGAGCCCAATCGTCGTTCCCTCTCGCATTCTAAGTGTCTATTCCTTCCTCGTGAAAGACGCCGTCTGCATCCAACTCCTGAGGCGTGGTAGTGAGACCGCCAGACGTCAACAACACCACAGCGTAATTGGTTTAGTGGTAAAATTCTCCGTTGCCATTCGAGTAACGTCGGGGAGCCCTGGGTTCGATTCCCAGATTACGCATTTGAACGAATTCGGTGATTGAAGCTGATGTTTTTGGCCCGTTGGCTGTCTTTTTCGTGCCGTGAAGCGAAGTTGTGAAGTTGAATTCAACGCCGCGGGCTCCTACTCTAGAGCTTCCCAAGATAGAATTCTGCCGGGCCATTTATCTCACCGCCTGCCTAAAACAGGCAACTGGGCGATGCTGGCGCGTGAATCTGCCTTGGCTGCCTGCGGTGCATCGTGAACGGACATTTGTTTTTTGACCAGTTAACTCCTTGACATATCATCAATCTTATATTATTGAACATATTGGTCGCTGTGAAGAGTCTTCTTGGTTCCAATATGACAGGACGAAAGCTGTCCGACCCAGGAGAGGGACCAGGACCCAGTAAGTTGGCGGATACGGATTGAGCATACACTCTGCTGACAGCACAAAGAAAAGCCAAGAACTCAGCCTGTGGGCTCTTGTGCTAGATGGTGCGAGATTGAGCCAGATGGATCATTCTCATGGGATGAGACCAAGATCAAGTCCTCACATTCACAAGAGGAGCTCGAGAACGCCGATTGGATGCGAGATGTGATTCAAGGAAGAGTTCTCAGTGGCCGAGTGTGCCCTTTGATCTTTGATTACTCTCTTCCCGACGCGCCAGAGACGGTCCGATTTCGCACCTTGTCATTCTTGTCAGAGCTGGTGGAGAACTCAAACGGCGCTTCCCGGTCCAAGGCGTTAACTCCCAATCAGCACAAGATTATTGCTATTGGTATCCGCGACTTGTACATTGCGGAAGCAGCAGGTCTCTTGCAACAGCCAGAGAAAGTCATACTCCAAGGCATGGTTGACTTGGTTGACTTGGTTGATCAAGACCTTGGAGCGACGCAACTCGGTGGACTTAGCATCTCATTCTACCCATCCAAAGAGTTCAGCATCACCAAGTTCATCGAGAATCTAGACGAAAAGATCGGAGAAGAGGCTTCGGAGCTGTACGCTCTAATCATGCCCACGCCCAAGTTATTCGCTGTCTTTGTCAACCCAGGTGATCTCTCTTACCACAACTTTGAGAACATTATTCACTTGGACTCTTGGTTGGAGTCAAACATGTCATCAGTGAGACCTGAGCAAGCCCTGTCCTTGGAGAACGCAACTCAAACAACTCCCGATCGCGAAATCTTTACCTGTGACTTGCAGGGCGACATTCTCACCCCCTTGAAAGCTTTGTCTGAGCTCGACTTGTATGTTCCGCCGTTGAACAAGACCACACGCGGCGGAGACCGGTTCATCTTTCATTCATCAATACTGAGTCAAGTGCTCACCGAAGCTTTGCAATCCAGCGGTGTTCTTGACAAGCTTTCTGGAGGTCAACTAAAGTCATCGTTTGAGTTCGTCAATTACGTCTTCCGATGCAATAGGTTCAACACAGACGACTCCCACTTCCAGAGCCATCTTGATACACCGTACTACGACAGTTCTCGGTCTCAGATCTCCAAGTACACGATGCTTATCAACTTGACCACGGGCCACAGCGATCCCGCCCTGCGTATCGAAGACGTCTCATTCAATGACGTTCGAGAATTCACTTGTACAATCTTTGACCAAAAGTACGAGCATGAAGGGTGGCCGTTTTTGGATGGGCAGAAAGTCTTTATCCGCACCGAGCTTGTTTTCAGGGACGATCAACTGGAACACAACAGTGAGATTGCTGGGCTGTTTGCTGAGGCCTGCTACATGTCATGGCAAAGCATGTTTGACCAGGGTCTGTCTTCCTACGCCAACGAGTGTTTTGAGCGGGCAAACTCGCTGCATTGGGCACTCGAAAGGGCTGCCACTCGGCCACCGGTCTACTTGTCAAAGCAGTTTCAGGGGATAAGGTTCCTCACAAACGGGTACAACTACTGGTTTTTGAAGAGTGATGGCGCCACTCCAAGGGAATGCGCTCTGGTGGCTGTGCTCGATTACTTCAACTGCAAGATTGGACAGAAACCGTTTCAGTCATTGGTGACATCGACAACGCTTGAAAGAAGATTTGGAAGCACTGATGAGATATGGAACTTATTGGCTGATGATGAAGTCAAGGGAAAGACAGGCATCAGACATCTGAACAAAACCGACATCGAATCACTCATCAAAACAGGACCCAGCAAGCCCTTGGAGTGGCAGCTCGAAGATTGGGATGGCGAGCCCGAGGAACTTGAAGAATTTGACGAAGACGGAGACGGCTGCTGCCCTATGCATTCGTTTCCCATGTTCAACCCTTGGAAGAACAACGAGATTATGGATGCATATGATGCATGCTGCGACTATTCTCGGCAGAAGCTATTCGGAGCACCACTGCTCATACTCGACCAAGAGATCATCATTAATGAAGAGAAGATCAAGATTTTCGGCGACAAAGTCTTTTTTCTTCGTTCCAAAGACGGCAAATCTCTCCCACGAATCAACTTTGCCGCCTGCTGGGCTGATGACACAGTTCCCTCAGAGTTCGTCTTGGTTGGAGAAGAAATCGAAGCACCTGGAATCATTGTCCCGCCTCTGACGTTTCACGAATTCGCCGAAGGATATCAGTTTAGTCTCGACTTTTTCCGCAATGATTGGATGGTCAAGATTGATGAGCAGACTATTCCTCTACCTGACGTATCTGAGAGACCGGAACCTGATGACGAGTTTCGAATCAGAGTGGATGATCCCTCGGAAAAGATGCAGCAGCTTTTTGATTACCCCTTTGGAGAATAGCCGACTTTGTTATTTCGCTGTTTGCTTGGTTTTGGGTTACCATGCCTGATCATGGCGTCTTCAGTATGACAGGGAACGCTGCTGGAGTGGTGGTCACTAGGCATCGGACATAGCTAACAGTGCTGGTGTTTAGGATACTTGGCCATGTGCAAGGCCTATGTTTACTGGATGAGTGATTCGTTTTGTTGGTAACTCTAAGAGTTGTGGATGTGATTGTTGAGAGATGGCAGAGCAAGTAAACCGCTATGTTGAGTGAATAGGGCTGAGTTCATGCATTTGTTCGGTGACATTGTCACATCTTAATGACACCATGGCGTGACCTATATACTTGCGTTGGCTTGTAGTCTCTCCTCTACTCAAATTGATACAGCCCCGTGAGAACAAGCCCTGGTCCTCCCCAATACGCGGTTGCAGGCCAAGCCGAAGCAGAGTGGCTTTCACCGTCCAGCTGGGTTACAGACAACGGTGAACTTCAAACTGTGGCTTTTGTCATTGGCCTCTTTGGAACCTTTTCAGAGACGTCATTTATGACAACAAGAAGGAAGAGCGAAATTCGCGTGCCTGGGTGAAAACAGTGATATCGAGAGTACAAAAGCTTTTATACAGATAGTTGAGGGAAGCAGCAAGGATAATGGTGACTGGTGACATAATATCCTTCAATGAGGTGCGGCCATTGGCTAAGATGAAACAATAATGTGAAAAAGCAAGATGGCTCAGTGTTGGTAAGGAGCTGTAGTCACCACACCACGTCCTTTCCGCTTCTGGGGCATAGATGAATCATAGACAAAGAAGGACCGGTCAGATGAGCGAAAGAGCTTGCCAGGGAGGGTCTTAGGATCTAGAACATAAAAAAGGCCGGGTAAAGAAGCCCTGATTAAGGTACCAAGAGTAAATACTTAAGGAGCCCCAAACTTCTCATCTCAACTCCTCGCAGATGAAGCAACAAAAAAAGAAAACTACGAAGAAGTCCACGAAGAAACTACCGAGAAGAAGCCACCGCGAAAAGCTCACCACGAAAGCTCACCACGATAAAATCGCCACCAAGGTGTCACTATGTGTATCGTCTACCAAGAACTAGACCTCTGCAAAAAGTGCGGCCACCAGATCTACTCCCGGGAGGCAGAAACGTCATGCGGATCAAACATATTGGGATGCAGCAAGCGCTTGCTTGTGAGTACCCTCAAGGTGGATGAGTCCCAGTGTCCCAAGTGCGAGGAGGAAAGGAAGAAGAAAGAGAAGGAGAAAGAGGGGGAAAGCTGAGCTAGTCTCAAGCGAGGGAGAATCAGCTCTGATTATTGCCAATGCACGGCTCGGCCCCAAGTGGAGAGAAGGCCGTCATTGTTAACACTGATTCTCGGATGTTGAGTATTCGGTAGGATGAGAGAAGATAGCTCCACGTAGGCAAGTCTCACTTCCATTAAACAGTAAGGGGTATCTTCGTCGGCGGATTTTCAGTATGGATGTCGTATAGCCATCCAAAGCTCCGTAGACGACTCGGTGACGCTGATCTTTTCGCTTCATAGCAAAGGCTATGAATAAGGGGTAGTAAAAACTATGAGTAAGGGATAGCAAAAACTATGAGTAAGAGGCCGAAAAAGCTCCCCTGATTACGCTTTGCATCATTGATTATCAGACCATGCGCACAAGGGAACACTGAATAAGACATATAGCCCAAATACTTAAGTCGATTACTTTCTCTCGTCTCTACCCCTGGAACAAGATAACCTTAACCAAATAAAACCATAACGAATAGGTCGCCATAGCCACCAAGAAGCATCACCATGTGCATCACTTACGAGAACGAAGTCGTTTGCGAAAAGTGCGGCTTCGTTGTCAACTTTCAGATGAATGAGGTGAAATGCAAATCGGGCAGATCGGACTGTCCCAAGCGCACGATCAAGGGTCAAACCAGGGTGGCTGAGTCGCAGTGTCTCAAGTGCCTGGAGGAGAGATATAAGAGGAAGCGGAAGAGAGGTCAATGAGTAGGGGCAGGACGAGGATGCGCTGCTAGGTAGTTCGGTTTAGGTAACAAACTAACCAAAATGATGAAGTATTAAACTTGTCTCTACGTTTTTTTCCAGTCTTGGGCATTAAAGTCTTGATATCTCATTTCGTCATCTCCTCGTAGCTGTATTAATTACTGTCTCACAAGCTCATCCTGAGACCCGTGCGACCTCCGAGGCGTCATAGGCCGTTCCAGCGACTGCATCTCCAGATCAACCTGGACATAAATCTTTCGACTAGACGCTCCGTCGTCAAATCGGTCCCTGTCTTCATCCCCTACTGTGCTGGAGCCCACACTCTTGTGGAAAGGCCGCGAGCCTGCCGAAGTGTTGGTGGTGATGGTTGCTCTGTTCGATCCCGCGTATGGCACGACTTGGGCGGCGGGAGGTTGACCGCCCGATGGCTCGGTGTGGAATCGTCTCTTGAGAAGCCTCCCCAGAGATGGTAGTGAACTGGCGATGATTCCTACTCCGGATTCCACTATTGACCAGATAACAATATTTGCGACGTTGTCTAAGTCACGGTTAGCCCAGGCCTGGAAACGGTATCCATCAACTCACATAGGTAATTCCCAGTTTGCGTATAATACTTTACATCAGGGAATCTGATGATGGTCGCAATGGAGGCACTATGGGGTCAGTATATGCCTCGAAGCCGTGAAGCAAAAGTAGAATTGGGACCTACAGAACACCCAGCCCCAGGATTATGGTAATTAATATCTTCATTGACGTCTTCATGTTCGTTCTGTAGAGCATGAATCCAGGTAAAATGGCACACGTCCAATCCGTGACGACGGCGCCGGTTGAAACGAGATATCCGAGGCTGGCGATGACAACAGTTGGTGAACATTTCCCAGGGTGGCCCCAAGCGGCGGATATCGGTCGACAGATGAGAAAGAGGCCAATGATGACGACGGTGGTGGAGAGGGTCGAGAATATTAGTGTGGCCCAGATAATTATTCGGTAGACTTTGCCGACGGCGATTCGGAGGAGCATGACGCAGATCGATCCCTTGATAAATAACAACGAGCAGCAATAGATGACCTGAAAGTAGTAGAGAAACTGCCAAAGGTCTGTCAGCCGGTCCTTTGCGATATCAGAAGTTACTCACCCTCCGGCCATCACTCTGCATTATGGCGTTCAATTGGGCATCTTTCGTACCAATCCCCGCATATACTCCCCGGGCAACGACGCCCGTAACGCCCATATATAGCCCCTTAATCCTTGCCATTAGCATGGAGTATCTTAGGGAAGTGTGCGGCCTACCCATCCGATCACCATGAGCCCATCATCCACGCCAAACACCTTGTGTTTTAACCTAACCCAACATCTCAAACCAACAACTATTGCAACGGGAAATGGAAAGAATAGCGTGAGGCCGAGAAGGGTGCGTCCGAGGCCGGTAGGTTCTACCGTCGTCGCGTTCGGATCGACTGCCATGGAGGATGTGGAGATGGCTTCACTTGGAGAAGAAGAGGGGAGAGGACGACAGCAATCTCCTGTTTCTAGAACGTCGCCCCCTCTGCCATTTAAAAACAACTTTATTATTTGCTTGTGACCGCGATCTACAGTATCGTAAGTACTGTTCCCCGCGTGCCTCAACGACTCGCCCCCTCAACACCCAGTCTCGACGCTAGTGGTTCCTAGCTCAGCCCATGGCACAACGTGTTTGGCTGGGTTTTATCGGGAACACCCATTCCTTTGGGACCATGACTCGTGGCGCGGGGATGATGACGGTGAGGTTGTCGATCCCGCTTGCTCTGTTTGCGCCAAGATTAGAAAAGATTGTGGGCTTCCGCTTTGCTTTGTTTAATGTGTCTCAGTCGCTTCACCGCTGTTTACAAAGACCAAAAAAGAGAAACTCCTTCATTTCATCCCCACGAGGAGGGTTCAGTTTCAGAAGTTGAGGCTGACCTTGGGTTGGATCGCGCTCTGACTTGCAACGTGGTTAGGTCTTACATATTTGCCCGTGCAGTAGCACAGAACTTTGAAGACGTCACAAGACAAGACTCGAAACAATGTAACCCGGAGGCTCCCGGACCATGAGTAAGGAAAATCCACTAGTATCACCGATTCGCTGTTTGTCTCGGAGACGCGTTCGCCGACCCGAGCACGCGGTAACGCAGCCGATGAACCGCGATGTACCGCCTGACTAGCAAGGGGAACGGACCAGGGCCGGTACGAATCTTACTTCGACTTGAGGAATTATTAATCAAGCTGCTTCTCGTCTCATGAGGAAGCAGTGTCATGCATATTAGTAAAGAACACGATTCGATCGCCGAATGTTAGAGTTGAGGCATTTTGACCTGCAAATCATGTGAAACCCTACCCAACTTCCGATTAGGGCAAATTTACACGGCGCCACCTCTTACAATTGCGGCAAGTGATCTAGATGTGTTTAGACTTTATGATCCATGAAGAGTATCTGAAACTACTCTTTCCATGGTCAAGTTCAAAATAATCCCCCGCGGGGCCGGGTGGCTCCCGGAGCTAAGAAGTGTTGAGTTTCTCCGCCGCGGAATAAATTGTGGCTTTACGTTTAGTCTAGCTTTGAAGGTGCTGGCCGCACTGGTTGAGGCTCTTTTTCGTGGCTAGTGAGCATTCAAGGATCTTTTAGTTCCATTGAATCATTTAGCATTGGTAATTATAAGAGAAATATCTGATCTACACGCACAATAAAACCCTGATACTAAACTCCTCCCTGAGCACACACTCCTGCTGGGCACTGTCAAGCAGGTAGTTCCCGTGGAGCCTCACGTCCATCAATCTCCGATACTTGCAATGGCTGAACCGTTGGAGGCGACAACCCATTCTTGCCAACATCCTGAATCTCTTGCCTAGGTGTGACAGGAGGGGTCTTCTCTCGTGCCCTGAGCCACAGAGTTGCCACAAGACAGGCCATTCCGACAACGCCAAAGGATACACCAACACCAATGCCCGCCTTGGCGCCTGTGATGAGCCCCTCGCCTGACTGATTGCTGTTTGGAACTGGGGTTCTAGCTTGGGTCGGGCTTGGGGTCGACTTTTGCGTTCCTGTGGACGTGCTGGTAGTTGTCAAGCTTGTGGATTCCGTCTCACTTTCCGATGAGCTGGTTGAACTCGTCGATGATTTCGGCGTTGGTGTAGGCGTTCGTCTTGGTGTCGGCAGCGATGTTAATCTTAGCGCCAACTTTTACATCGATATCATCGTCGTTTGTATCAAAGCCTTTTCGACCAGGACTCGAGCCAAAACGTTGGGTAATTCCGTTCTTGAACTCTGCGTGGTAACGTCGCTCGACGCGGTTGCAGATGAGGCAGAAACAACGACGGCAGTTGAGGTATCCTCCTCCAATAAAGACTTGACACCCCCTTTACCCTCTGGCGTGCTAGAGACTCCTTCGAACTGACGTCTCCAAGCATCTTGAACTTCGTTAATCTCGTTGGTATCACACAAAACGATGAGACAAGGTGCGATGGCAGGGCCGTGCTTTGTTCGGAAGTCGGGATCGCAAAGAGATGTGGCATGAGGCAGGTCGCAGCCAGAGTTGGGTACATGTTATTTGATGCAATTCACCTGGAAGAAGACGTGAGCAGAGGTTTGTGATCCCGATATTAGGTTACTTACTGCGCAAGCTGGCATTTGAGCCAACGCAACACCTCCATTAACATTACCATTCTCAAGGGCTAAGATCCCACTCAGTAAAACCAGAAGAAGCGATAGTGTCCCCATAATGAAAGTGAAGATGTAGAATGTAGGTAACAATGATGTGATTTTTGAGAGACAAGAAGGAGGCTCTGTTTATCGAGGAGAGATTTTTCCTGAAATCCTTGCATTCCTCTGCCGTCAGGCGTCCTGGTAGGCGGATTATAGGAGGCATGTGAGGGCCGCCACGGGCCGCAAAGAGCAAGGGGACAGTTCTGGACCCCGATTGTGGCAGATCTAGTAATAAAGCCATCGACGCCCTACATAAGCATAAATCATGTTGTGGTCGGTTATTGGCTCGCCTTCAATGCCAAGTCGCCGATAAGATGAGTTTCCTTGGTGGCTTCACGATCAGGTTCTTGAGTCAAGGCATTGCACGAGGCTTTTTCAGTGCCCTTGATTCTGTTGTTAAACTCTCGGCAGCCTTGTGGATGAAAATCGAAATTGGCTGCTTCAGTTGCTGGCTGGGGATGTGGTATGGCGTCTGCCAGTGGCAGAGTTGAAGAGAGGGCAGGCTGAGGCGAGAGGTTGTTGTTCCGGAAGACCATGCGCTGGAATAGGAAGCGTTGATTCGACGGGATTGAACAATAAGAGACAAGCTAAAGGTCCGAGTCGAGATGGAGGGGACACACGTTAAAGTCCTGGGCACGTGGCTGACAACAAATATGACAGGCGATCTCGGTCCATGTCTTGAACCGGCAGTCCGAAGGGTCCAGGAGGCGCCGCCACTAATCATTTTAAATGAAGAGTTTCATTTAATGAGACAAAACATTTCAAATTGAGCCTTATTCTGTTTAGCCTGGGAGACATGTCACATTCGCCCTACGGGTTGCTCAGCCTCAGTTTCTGCAGTTGCAAGTCCCCTTTTCAACTTTTTCCTCCTGGAAATCATGGCTACAACATATCAAAAGCCTTGACGGCAGCCTCAGCTGTGACATGGGCGCTCGCAGGGTTCGCACCCGTCACGATGTGACCATCTGTGTGGGTGAAGGCATCCCAGGGACCTGGAGGAGATATGTCTAGAAGCTTGTTAGAAGATTATTACAAGGCATTATCGCCAAGACTCACAAGTGGCACCAGCATCTGCTGCGGCAGCCTCAATGGTGGGTCTATGCCAGCTCTTGATGGTGTCCAGGACGCCTTCTTCCTCCTCGCCCTTCGTGGTGAAGCCCGTCACTTTCTTACCGGCGATGATGGACTTTCCAGTTCGAGGGTCAATGGTGTTGGGGAAGATGGCGCCGCCGTGGCACCTGGAATGGTGATTAGATACTTGATCACACAACGTCAGGGATAACCGTACACCGCGCATACAATGCCTCCATCGACGTAGATCTTGGATGCAATCGATTGAAGACCCGAGGCTTCCGGGTAGTCAATCAGAGACGCATGACCAGCCGAGGCGAAGAATAAGCCGTACTAAGTCCATCAAGTCATCACAAACGGATAAAGATACTCTGCAGAAATACTCACATCTTCAGCATGAATGTCGCTGGGCCTCATTAATTTGTCAACCTTGGATCGAAACTCGCTATCGTGATCCTCCCAAACCTCGCGGTCCTTCTCTGGCAGCCAGTCCTTGGTGGTTGAGAGCCAGTCGGGTTGGCAGGTGCCTGTTTCAGAGACCAGATCAGTCTCGAAGCCTGCCTCCTTGAAGACATTGAATGGATGGAGGGCTTCGGTGATAAAGAGTCCTATCTGTGGTCAGCGAGTGACGGTGAATGCTCGGAGCAAAGCCATATTACCAGTCTCTTTGCCTCCCTCGTACAGAGGGGCGTGAGCGGATGTGATGGCGATGAGAGCCTTCTTAGGAGGAGCCATGTTGTGATTCTGGTGTTAGATAAGCTTATTTTGTGTGAGAGTTGATGAGGAAGCATCTGGCATCCGGGCTGTCCGTGACGCTGAAGTTATACTTGTGCGAGCGGGGGCGGTCGGAACCAACCTTCTGATAACTATGCGGAATTACGTTTGTGGAAGCCAATGAGCAGTCAGGCGTTTCCAGCTGAATAGAATAGCCTTCGGCCTTGAGCTCAATCACGGGAGAGATTGGTTTCTCCAACTGCCGATCGACAGTAGTTGAAAGTTTGGCCCTGATTAGCTATCGCACGGCATTCCCCAATTGGTATGCCAGCCGGTTCTGACATCATGACCAAAGTTCCCACCGTGTGTTCCGGTGGTGGCTTTTGAAGCGGCCATGTACCGATAGATGTGTCTTTCGCTGTTGTGGCTAACGGACTTGGTTGGAGACGTCATTGATGATAAGAAGAAGGACTGCCATGATCACGTTCGCCCGTAACAATAGTCGAATGTGTGATTACTTCCAGAGGAGTCTCTATTTCATACATATTCTCCAGTTCTACCAAGAGAAAGACTCCTCGACATAGCGAACCTTTGCTCCATGCCGTGCCAAGCCAGCGCACGCGTATCGAGCCTCGTCGCACATAGTATGAGGGCCGCACACAACCACTATCGTTCCACCAGGTGTATTTTCCAATTCTTCAGACAAGACTTGCCTGATGTTCATCCGTGACCCGATCGTCACATGGGATTCAACATGGCCCCAGTTGGTTTCATCGCCCTTCTCTCCGTCCTTGGAATCGCCAACAATCATGCTCTTCACGGCATCCACAAGGCCACGGTCCTTGATGCCCCAGTACAGTTTGGTAGTTCCAAGGGGGCGGGCAAACATGGTCAAGGAACAGTTTAGCGCGGGAAGGATGCCAGTGATCCCAACGCCGCCAGCAATGCAGAGAACGTTGGGATACTCAGTGGTCGGGGTGAATGCGTTGGTGCTTCCATGGCCATATGCGCCCTCGATAAGCACCGGAATTCCACCTTCAGTGTTGGCCTTGGCTGCAATCTTCTTGGTCAGGCCAGACTGAGCTCGGATGAAAAGGGTGATGCCAGGTCGAGGATGGGCGATACGGGTGGCAATGACGTCCCTATTCGCAGTGACATTTCCAGTCTCTTTAGAGTCCGGGTCCATCACAGTTGTACCCTCAGTCTCGGAATGTGACTGAGCGCTTGAGTTCGAATCAATGATGTTGTCGCTGAGTTGGCCAATACTGCAGTTGACAACAGAGAACGGGTGGTTCTCCCAGACGCGCCAGGTAATGGTAGGGAAATAGATGTAGCAGTGACCATGGCAGTCGACTTCTGGGATATCAAGGCGGATGTACTGATCGCCTTCGATGCGTGTAATGTGAGCTCTCTTGATTCCATGTCGGGAGACTCGGAGAATACGCAAGAGTCTGTCGTATCCCCAAACAGCAATCGCGATCAGCAGCCAGATCTCGAAACCGCCCGAGTCTTCGTACAAGTACCAAATGTGATACCAAGAGGCGACGATAGCCAAAACAGCAAGGCAAATGTGAGCGATAAGGAAGACTTCGTAAAGAACCTTTCGCACGCAGAGAAGAGAGAATGGCCAAAGGAGACAAAAGGCGAGCGTACCGACAATACCCCAGTACCAGTAAGGGTATGTGACAGCTTCGGCGTGAGAATCAGACTCAACCATCATCTGAAGCCACAGAAGCGAGTGGACCACAACTTGGATAATGCAGATCATGGCAATCCATCTGTGAAGCAGAAGAAATGTCGAGTGGGACCAATTAGTCAACCAAAGCAACAAACTATTTCTCCCAGCGAAGAGAATGAGAAGTGGCATATTGGCAAAAGCGATGACACCAGCACGGTTGCCGATCTGGCGCATCAACTCATATCGACGATCCGGAAAGTAGCCGTTGGGTTGAAAGTTGGGGTATCCTTCGAAAACGGCTAGGGTGTTGATGGCGATGATGTACATGATGAACAAAGCCTGACCTCGAGTTGGGACGATTCCGAGACCCAGAACAGGAGCACTGTGTTTCTTGCCAAAAGCCGGAGGGTCGATGAGGTAGGCATACAGCTTGCTTCGAAGACTTTCAGGGATCGGGACGAATCGAAGAAAGGAGAAGGCGATGGGGATGAGGACACAGGAGAGGAATACCACAAGCCTACCCTCAGTTAGCTGACGATCATCCCTTGATAGCAAGTTCAAACCTACGAATACTTGGATTCATTCTTCCCGCTGGCCTGGTACGCCTTGACAGCATTCAGAAAGGCGATGTATACATCCTCTGTAGTTGCAATAGTCCGGTTGACGACGGTCTCGGTGAGATCAAGAGGCTGGGGAGGCTTCTTGGGATCGATCTGCGCCAAGGCTTCTTCGTATGTATACCGAAGGACAACGCCATCCTCAGCAATGAGCTTTGTTTCCCAAAAGTTGGCAATTTTGTAGGTCCCGATGCTTTTGTCGCAGTAGCTGTGGATACACCAAGCGACCGTCGTCAGGTATGCCGTGTCGTTGGCCATGCAGGCTCCTGAGGGGAAAGCCAGAGCCATCTCTTCGGCACTCAAGCCTTCGAATTCGGGGCATTGTAGGGCAGTTGGGCCAGCAAATTGGCATGCTTGAGCGCATGGGACGGGGTATGGGTCTCTGCCGTAGCCTTCGAGGAGCTCAGTGGCGGTTGCGCCAGGGAGTGATAAGATAGACAACGCAACCACCGCCGCCGCGGGGAGTGAAGAGTAGATCATCATGGCTCCTGCACAAGCTGTGTTGCTTCAGGGCCAGATGAAAGACAAGGAAGTGAATCAAGGTATATCCAAAAGCTGGTCAACTCCCAGGTATCCAGACGATCAGACGAGGGGGACTACGTGAACCTTATATAAGGCCAGGCCTAATTAACCCGCCCAAATGGAAACCATCACCCACTCAAGGACAATCTATTACCCAGCTTCAAACGAAAGTTCATCACAGCGGCCGACTCTAACTCCACCAGCTCTGACTAGCCAGCCTTGAACCCCACGATGCATTGACAATGAAGTCAGTGACCCGCTGATCCGTAAAAGCTGGCCCGCATGAACCCCCATCTTGTAACTGCAGCGATCCAGGACAAGAAATCGAACGACTACCGGCTAAGACGGGTCGTTCAGTTATGAAAAGCGAAAGAACGCCGATTCGTTAGCATCTCCTATTTACTGCTGTCGGC